GCCAGATACAGCCCATGGCATGGCTGGTTCTTGATATTCTAAAACAGTAGTTTTCAACCCATGGGTAGCAACCCCTTGCACAGGGGTCACCTAAGACCATCAGAAAACACAGATGTTTATATTATGATTCGTAACAGTAGTAAGATTACAGTTATGAAGTAGCAATGAAAAGAATCATGTGATGGGGATCGCCACAACATGAGGGACTGTATTAAAGAGGGGCAGCATTAGGAAGGTTGAGAACCACTATTCTAAAACAAAAGAAATTAATGACCAACCGTTTTCCAAGACAGGGTCCCCATGTATCCCCCATGTATCCCAGGCTGATCTGGAACTTGGTGTACAGTCTAGAATGACCATGAAATCTGGTCCTCCCACCTCCTCCTCTTTAGTGCTGTAATTATAGACCCACACACACACTCAGTTTGTGTGGCACTGGAGCTCAAACCCAAGGCTTTCGTGCATGCTGGGCACACATTGAGCAATGTCCCCAGCCTGTGACCAGTGTTCTTACGTCAAACAGATTATGGGCCTTTAAGTTGGTTCGGTAGGTAAAGGTGCTTGCCACCAAGCCAAATGACCTGAATCCACTAAGACACATGTGGTGGAAGAAGGAAGCTGGTTCCCTTAAGTTGTCCCCTGACCACCACCCATGCATGGGGTACACTTAATGTGGTAATGTTTTAAATGTTTCTATGGAAATCTGAGTTTCTGGGTTCTTCTTTAAAAAATGCCAATCCGTCCACCCCAGGTCTGAGCTGGCTGCTTACTGCCCCCTCTAAAGGGAAGGGGAACCTTGCTTTACCACAGTCCCCAGCACTCCAAACACCCCTTTGCCCCTGGAGACTTCAGTGTATGATTTCTCTTGCGGGGCCTTGGCGCTCCGGCCTTGGGACAGAACCTAGGGTGGGGCCAGGCTATATGAGGCATTTGGACATGATGACAAAGGATCCTTCAAACATTTTCTCCGGTCTCACAACTTTCGCCTGTGTGAGCCTGAGCCCTGAGTTCAGCAGGAACCCCTAGCCAGGCTGCATACAAACCACAAACCCTGGAGCAGGAAAGAGGGGTACTCACTCACCCTCTCTCCTCCCTGCAGCTGTCACCAGATTGCTGTCTGTTGCTGGGGCCCAGGGTAGACCAGCAACATGTGTCACTTCTCTGGACTGGGGCTATAATGCCAACATTGTGCTGTGTGGAACAAGAGAGGTTTTCATCCAGCAGCCAGCCTCGAGGAGACACTCAAGCAAAGGGCTTAGGGATCACCCTGAACAAAGAATATGGGAGAGGAAGCTAAGTGGCCCTGGTGCACACATGAGCCTGGAGAGTGCGGGGCATTTCCACAGGACACCTTGCAATCGCATTCCCTTCTGAAAATAGATACCAATAAGACATTCCTAGAGGGATAGCAGGCCGGCACTCAGCATTAGCAACAGCCAGCAATGGTAGGCCTTGCAGATGCTGTGAGTTTACTGACTGATTCATATCATGAGCCTCCCTCACTGCTTACTAGATGCAGGGTCCTGAGCTGGGATGTAGGAAATCTCAGAGTAAGACACAGCGCCCACTGGCACTGTGACTTAGAGCCAAGAAAGGATAAGTAGATCATACATTGATGACATGGTGGAGGAATTGAGATTCACACAGCACCAAGGACGACTCAGGCCCCAGACCTCACACACACACACACACACACACACACACACACACACACACACACACACACGCACGCCGCTCATCCCCCTCTTCCCCCTCCCGTCCATTTCGTACACTTCCTGAGTCTCCTGAGATGCTACAAACCAACACTCAACTGGTGGCAAAGGAGAATGTGGAATATTTTCAAGGGGGAAATAACAGTCTGATTAGGGTCATGAAAAGGTCACTCTGGCAATCATAAAGGAAGCTGACCCTGGATGCAAAATGACAGGCTAGAACAGTGTTTCTTTCCCTGATACAAGAGCCCTTCAGAGTCCAGGGTTTTTTGTATTTTTTTTTTTTCCTTTCTTTCCCAGGGTTTCCCTTCTACCTGATAAGCTAAGAGGGAGTCTGAGGACTATCATTTGTTTTCACAAGACCAGGAGCAGGATGGGGCTGAAAGTTTCTTCCTGGTATTGTTCCCTAAGGCCAAATTTGATATCTTCTTACAAAGCTGCACCTCTCTATGTGGAATTCTCTCAACAAGCGCCAGGTGAACCTGGAAAACCCAGCAGTAAGCAAGAAGATATGAGGGAAGTCTTCATAGGCTTCGCCAAAGTCACATATGGAGAAACAGAAAAGGGAATTAAACACTAGACATCAGAAGTGCCCTTCGCATCCTTGTCCTCAGACCTAGCACCTGATACCCCATGATTTGGCCAATCCAAACCCAGCTGCAGACAGTCCTGCAGCGTTCTATCTCCATGTCTTGACTCTCACTGTTTTTCTTTGCCTGTAATGTTATCTTCTCGCTACACATTTGGATCAGTCCTGAGCAAACGCCTGTCCTCTAGTACTGTCTCCTTGGTCAGCAAGAAGCCATTGCTTTGTCTTCATGGACACCAAAGCACTTCCTCTCACTTGTGTGCTTTGTACAGAATAATCTGTGTTAAAATTGCCTCCTCTTTTAGACCATAGATCTCTTGAAGACGGGGCTCACTCCTACTTAGCATCTGCTCTCTCAACACCAACTTACACAGATCCCAATCCATGTTGCCTAAGGGAACTAATGGACAGTGGGAATCGTTTGTGGTTCCTTCTTAAAGGAAAAGTGTAGAAAACCATATAATGATTGTTTTGTATTAACACACAGATACCTTCTCCATGCATCTCATTGGCTCACTCTGGCACCAACCAAGTTGCAGCCAACTTGGCCTACATTTCCACCCAAGGAAGTTGCAGGCTAAGACAGAGCCCCTGTCCCTCCTACGAACTTTATTCTCAGAGCCATGCATAGATTGTGTTCACTCTCATTTTTATGCATTTCCTAGGCCATAGTTCAGTTAATCCTAGTGCATAGGTCACACACACACCCCCATAGATACATGTAAATCTTTGCTCCAATTATCTGAATAAAGCTTCAAGGTCCTTTAAAGATTTTGAAAATTCTATTGTTTTAAAAAAATGTTTACAAAAGCCTCCATATGTTTGGCAATGGTGATGTTTTATACTGACGTTTGAAAATTATTTCATTGGAGGGCATGGTAGCCTGTCACTGTACTCCCAGACTCCAAAGCAGGAAGAAAGAGGCAAATGAGTTGGAGGCCAGCCTAAGCTACTTAGGAAGAAACCTTTCTCAAAAAGGAAAAGAAGCGAGGGAGGGAGGAAGGCAGGGAGGGAGGAGAAATGGATTGAGGGAAGGAGAGAGGGAGGGAGAGAGGGAATAAAAACTTGAGGTTGGGGTGGTACTCTGTAGTAGAGTGCTTGCCTTCCATGAGGAAGGCTCTGGGTTCAATGCTCTGTGCTGCAACATATTGAGTAAAGCATTGAACTAATGAGCTAGCCTGGGAACTGCACAGACGATTTCCAAGTTCCAGAGTTCATGCAGTGAATTTAGGAAGCTAAATCCACTTGCAATTGTTGGTTAGCTGCTTTAGAATTGAAAATGACCTTTTCAAATTGGAAAAGTGGGTATGAACAAAGAGGAACTGGGAAACTAACAATGGCTCACATTTTCATAGCTATTTATGGGCTATAAAGTGGGCCTGCATCATCTGCCCTGCCAGCAGCTCTGTGAGGTCAGTGTGAGGGCTCCCTGTGCACAAATGAAAAGGCCTGAAAGATGGGGTATATGACACGCAGTACCTACTGATCAGAAACTTTTTTTTTTTAACCACACCATACCCTCAGAGCACTCTACACACAAATGTATTAAACAAGCTATCAGGGTCATTTTGCAAGGGTAATGTTAATTTCAACCTGCAGATAAAAACAACAGAGGAAATACTTCGAGCTGAAGAAACTACAAGATGGCCATTCTTGCTTCGGTGCCTTTGCAGAAGTGTTCCAAGCATCAGATATATTGTAAAGTAGCTGCTCAGTCAAAACTGAGACACAGCTAGGGAAGTGTGTCCAAGCATTGGGCTTTCTCCTTTAATCCCAGCACTCGGGAGGCAGAGGCAGGCGGATCTCTGTGAATTCGAGACCAACCTGGTCTACAAGAGATAGTTCCAGGACAGCCTCCAAAGCTACAGTGAAACTGTTTCGGGGAAGGGGGGGTGCATTGGGCTTGAAAAGCACCTACAGACTCAAATTCAGGCCTTTGATGCTATCTGCATTCATACACTACCAGAAGTAAAAGAGTTGACACTTTCATACAACTTCACACTAAATCTCTTGGCTAGGCCGTAGCAATTCATTTTCTGCATCCCATAATTAATTTCAGAGGCATGCACTGTATTGTGTTTTCGGTGCTAAAATTGTTCTCTTCCGTGGTGTCTATCACCTTGCTTTGGTATCTCTTCACATTTTAGTACATTAGGAACTCAGAAAGTTGAAAGTGGGCCGGTCTACCACATGCCTTACTAGCAATTTTCTGTTTCTCCTTTCCCTGAGAGGTTTTCTTTTTGAAGATCTTTGTTTAATATTTCTCACTCCTTTGTGGTCTTTTTGCCAACCTGGCTATCTAGGCTGGAAGGTGCTCTGGAAAAAACAAACAAACCAAAAAAAAAAACAAAAAAACTCCTGGGAGTGGAGATAAACACAAAGCCAAAAAGGTGAGCCTAAAGAGTCCTAAGGAGGAAAGCAACAGCAATCCCCACAGTCTCAGGCTGACTGGGGATTGAAATGGTTGGCTTCCCTGTCCTTAGCGGAGGGCAAGCAAAACTGAGTGGTCCAGGCAGGTCAGCCACGCAGGCACGGAACCGAAGCGTTTGGGCATTTAGGCTGACCCTGCTAGCCCAGCAGGAGGGCGGTGGAAAGCTGGGCGTGGCTCTGGCCAGTGCGGGACGGACACCGGCGGGCGGCGTAGGGGGCGAGGCGTGCTCGGGTCTATTCCGGGAGCGCGCTGGGCGGGGCGGGGGCGTCCTGCGAGCATCCTGTCTGGGGGAGGGGACGAGCTAGCCGCCAGGGCAGCCCCAAGAGCGTAAGCCGCCCGCCCGTGCAGCAGCCGCTGCGCCCTGGGCTGGGCGCCCCGGGATCCCCGCCGGCGCCATGGACCGTAGCCGGGGTAAGTGCCACCACCGCGGTGGCCAGGAAGGGAGATCCAAGGCCGGGAGGAGCTGAGAAAGAGGAGGAGAGGTGGCGGCGGGGCTTGACGGGAGCGACACTTGGGCGCAGGTGCCTCCTGCAGCAGGAACAATCCCCGTGTGTGTCAGCCCCTCTTGGTCTAGGTCTGAGTCCTCTCGGGTGGAAATTGGCGCGTTTGAACACTCTATTTCCTAACTTTATTCAAGGCTCCCCAAGAATTGTTGAGGTCAACGAGCTACCCCCACCTTGCCACATGTAGGGAAAAGGTGGAATACGGGATACAGGTTACACTCCAAGGACAGCCACACTTGCGTCTCCTAGTGTGCGCCCTGCGAGAAGCCCCAGGGCACAGAAGTTTGCAGCTGCTTTGGGAGAAGGCGGGGCTGCGTGAGCACGCTTCCGCGCGTCTGCTTGTGTTTGGTGTTTTAGAGTCCTGAGGACTACTGCAGTTGGGACTGACCCGGGCAAAGATAAAGGCTTCCTGGGACCTTGTGGCGGGGACAAGGCACATCTTACTAAAGGTTAGGCCGCTGCAGCGAAAGGTGCCTACTTGAGCATGGGGGTAGTGTCAAAGACTTGGGTCCCGCTGGCACCTCTACAATGCAGAGATCACAGGTGTGAAAGCACTTGGCAAACTGAGTGTTGTGTCTTTACCAGAAGCAGTTTCTATTGTTGTTGCTGTTAATGGAAAATTCCTCTCCCTTCCAACAACCATCCTAACAATCCTCCCTCCCCTGCTTGCTCTGCTGGAGCCCCAGGGGCAAAAGTGTTTGGGCTGAGATGAGTGCCCCAGCAGGTGTGTAGATTATCTTCCCCATCCAGGTAAATTCAGAAGGCCTTAGAGGACCCCCACCCCATCCTCTTCACTGCCCCTCTCCAACACAAAATTCAACACCCAGTCTCTCTTTCGGGGTCTTTGGGAGAGCAGGCAGACATTAGAGGAAGGGCTTGAACTTGATTCTTCAAAACTGAGGCATGGTTTAAAGGCAGTTTTCACCTGTTAACTGACTTCTGGGCAGGCGTGCACACCCACCAGGGCAGAAAAGCAGACTAGGCACTTCCCATTCCTTCTCTTCTCCTGCAATGCCCCAACCTCATATTTAATGCAAGGATCATCCTCAGATGTCACATACCATCCTGTCTGGTCCCCTGTACCGAAATATGTATGGAGAACTAAGGTTTGACTGTTCTGTAATCAATATGGTCACTTCAAAATGCAGCCTCTAGCTGGGAGATGGGACCTCCCCGGAATCTCTTGGTGCCCAGAGGACTTTGACCTTTTCTACCTTTTTTTTCCTTCTCCCCTGCAGCTCCTGTCACAGGGTCCTGTTAGTGCTGTAGCATTAGCTTTCTGAATCTTGCTTCCTTGATCAGAAGTAAGCTTCCGGAAGTGATGGCAGAGCTTGCTTGTGAGACAGTGTCTGGCACATGGTGGGAACTGACCCGTGTGGCTATCGAGTGGGATGAAGCATGTTTCTTGCGGCATCTCTAATTAACTAATCAGAATGTCTACTTTTAAAAGGAGTCTGCAAAATTCTCAACAACAGGACTGTTCTGTGACTGACTAAAGGCCATGCCAACCCTTTGAGTAAAGTGGTATGTGGCTGGAGTGCACAAGACCAAGTCTTCTCTCCCTACCTTAATGAGCAGTTTCAAATACTGTGGTGAAAGCAAACATGACTGTGCTGTGGATTAGAGTCTGAAATCTGCCTGCATCTTTAAGAGAAAGTATAAAACATCAGAGATTATGTTAGCAGACTGTGGTGACCCATCCTAGAGTCTCCCTGAGGGACTGTCTGGATTAGGTTGGCCTAAGGGCATGCCTTGGGGGGTGTGGTTCTCCTGATTATGTAAACTGACCCAGCCTAACAGTGGGCAGCATCGTTCCCTAGGTTTGTGGTGTGGAGAAGGTGAGCTGAGTGGGTGCATTCTGTCCCTGGTGACAGTGGATGTGACTTGCTGCTCCAAATTCCTGCCACCTTGGTTTCTCTGCAGTAACCAGCCTCACCTGGAATTGAGAGATGAAATAAACCCTCTCTCCCCTTAGTTGTTTTTCTCAGGGTATTTTGCCATAGCAACAGGAAACAAAAGTAAGGCATAGCCTTCCTTGTTGTGACCTCAGGTAGATATGTACAACCCCCCAGTCTCCCCTAACCATGTCAAGGAAAGTTTTTATAAGGCAGATCTTGTTTTAGCCTCTCCCACCACCTCAGGGTAGGGTGATCTTGAGCAGGTTAGGGTCACCTTGGGCAAGAACACTGTTCAGTATTTGCAGCCATTACAGCTAAAATCACTTGCACTAGACTCCCTGTTCAGTCTTCCATGTTTTCTCTCTGAACAGCTCATGGGTCAGAGGCTATCCCCTCTCAGGAAAGCAGGCTGTGGCACAGTTCCAAAAACCAGGCCCCTTTAATAGCAGAAATCTCTTTTCTCGCAGCATCTCCAGGCTGGTAGCCCAGGATCAAGGTTAACCTCGGACGAGGCCTTTTCCTGGCTTTGATCTTCTTTCCGTATTTTCACACACCCCTTCACTATGGTCTCCTCTTCTTAGATGGACACCAGCCCTGTCAGACATGATGTCCATTCTCATGACCTCATTTGACCTCAGATAACTCCTAAAGGCCCTGGCTCCAAAGCCCATCACATAGGACTTAGGGATTCGATATATGAATGGGTAGCAGGTAGAAGAGGACAGGTGACATGAGTCAGTCCAGAACAGCCACTGATAATAATTTGCAGCCATTTCTGTGTGATGTACAGAGCAAGGTTTAAACCCAGCCTTGACTTTAAACATACTGCTAACTGCCTCCGTGGCGGCAAGGGAACTGCCAAGCCCTAAAATAAGACTAGATTCCAAATCATCTATCGAGGTTTCCCTGTGCATATTCTCTGACACAAAGAGACACATAGAGGATAGGAACAGACCTGGGGAACAGGATTTCTCTTCTCGCAGCAAGCATACTGCCTTGGAATAAGCAAAGTGGGATTCCTACAACGCAGTCATAGACATAGAAACCACTTATAATAGACTCCCTTCCCGTGGGATATCCTGGGCAATGCCTGTTACACAGAGAGAACTGGCCACCAGAGAGGTAGCACACGGGCAGGCCTCATGACTCCATCTTCCACAGGGCAAGCTAGTGAACTTTCTGTCCCCAGATGAAGCTAAAATGTAGAAGTCAAGAATGCCTTTTCTCAGAGGCATACATGTGAAATATATATATATATATATATATATATATATATATTATGAGGAGCACTCAGATGCTTGCTGTTAGTCAGCTTGCCTTCAAGGGCTTGAGTTCTGAACTCATATCATTCCCCCACCATGTCAGATGAGCCTGCCTGTAGCTTTTTCTGTTGCGAACACTACGGCATAAAGAGCTGTCAAAGGAAATGGGGGTGTTTATGAGACAAGACAAAATTTGAAGGGATGCCATATCATGAGAGCAGATTGCTTCTCAGACTAGCATCCCTATAGGAAAGGTAGGGTGTGGTGAGAGATGATTGTCATCCCAGACTCGGTAAACTGAAGCAGGAAGAAGACTACAAACAAAGAGAAATAAAGAAACGACAAAGAGATTAAAAATAAAAAATAAACAACAACAACAAGTGCTGCCTGGGCACACAATGAGGAAATAGTCCTTGACATATGTGTAGGCTACAGACTACTGTCACCTTCTCCTAATGGTCCAGAGGATTCCATAAACACCTCCCTGACGCTGTAGACGACAGGGCTCCTGGGTATGTGTACTTTGATCTAAAGCATTCCTCTTTTATTTAGCTGCACACTATAGCACAACCTCTGTTGGGATTTAGGGACCAGTTTGTGAAGATGGGATCTGGGAAGAAAAAGGGCCAATGCAGTTCAGAGTCAGTTATTTAAAACTAGTGGACTGGTGGGGTTGCTCAGTGGGTAGAGACATCGTCACCAAGCCTGACTATCTGAGTTCCTCAGGACTCACATGATGGAAGGTGAGAACTGACTCAAACGACCTTAGAATGTATGGTGTGGTACATGCCCCCATCTCTGTGGAACTTCCCCCCCCCTCTCTCTCTCTCTCTCACACACACACACACACACACACACACACACTAAATGAAAGGTAAAGAGAGGAGGGGGAGAGAATCTGTTGAGCTAAGCAGATCTGAACCTCTCTCCTAAGCTGCCATCTTGTAGTCTTGCAGTGTCCCCCACCACACACACACACACACACACACACGCACGCACGCACGCACGCACGCACACCAGCACTAGGCCTTTGCTGTCTGCTCCCTGTTCCCTCCACCTGTCCCTCACACTGCTGGTTTTACTCCTTCTAGCTTTGAATACTCTGTGCCTTCCCTTGTGCCACCCTAGTCACTGTCCGACCATGTCTTCCCCAGGGCGGTGTTTCCCAGGCTTCCCAGCTGCCTCTGCCTGCTGCGGGCCGTGTGCCACTGGTGGTTACTTCCACAGCTGCAGTGAACTGGGGCATGGCATGCACTGTTGGTAGAGATCTTTGAGCACAGGCCTTCCCTAGCTTGTTCGTAGCTGCCTTCTCAGTCCCTGCTGCCATGTTCAGCACTTAGGAAATGTCTGTCAAGAGGGTAAAGAAAGGAAAGTGATCAGATCCAATCACGAGTAGACCCTGGATTTGCCATGTCAGAGATCTTGATCTGAGGGACAGAAGTGTGGGCTTTATCATTTCACATTGTTTCCTTTGCTGTCCTCCTTTGTACAGTCAGATCCCAGATCCTGTTGACTCTTACTGGGAAATGGATCTTGGGTGGCTGCTTCTCCTATATCCTGTTCCCCCTACAGGGTCTTCCTGTTTCTACTTTGGGCTTCTCCAGCATGCCTCAGATACCACTCTCTATGTGTCTAAAGTAGAGCTCCAAATCAGGCCATGGAGAACCCAGAGAAAACACACTCCAGAAAGCTGATCAGGGAAAAGCCCTCAAGTAAACTCCTTCTCACTGCTGACTACTACAGTTCTC